GAGCCCCTTCACACGGTGCACACAGCGACACCGATGGCGCTATGCTCGGGTCGGGCGAAAGGGGGGGATAGCAAAGGGGGGGCTTGAGAATCAGCTCACGGAGCTGGTTTTCCCGGCGCCTCCCGGCGCCGGAGGCGGCCATGTATCGAGGAATGGGCCCCTCGGTGGGGCCGAAACCAGCTGCATATGCAGCAGATTTCGTGACCCCCCCTTTCCCAATCCCCCCCCTTTCGCCCAGCCCGAACGGTGCACACAGCGACACCGATGGCGCTATGCTCCCCGAGACCTCTGCTGGGGCGCGCTGCGGCCAGCATCCCAAGGGCGACTCTGGCCGTGGCGACGAGGGACGGGCAGCGGCACCGATACCGCTCCCCTCGTGCTCGACCGGTAGGAGGGGGAGGAGGAGGGGGGAGGAGGAGGGGGGAGGAGGAGGAGAGGAGGAGGAGGAGGAGGAGGAGGAGGAGGAGGAGGAGGAGGAGGAGGAGGAGGGGAGGAGGAGGAGGGGGAGGAGGAGGGGGAGGAGGAGGGAGGAGGGGGGGAGGAGGTGGAGGAGGAGGAGGGGGAGGAGGGGGGAGGGGGAGGAGAAGGGGGAGGAGGGGGGAGGAGAAGGAGGAGGAGGGGGGAGGAGGGGGAGGGGGAGGAGGAGGGGGGAGGAGGCGGCGCCCTTGGCCGATCCCCGCCCCCTCGATTCGGAGACGGCCTCGGCGCTGCTCGCGGACGCCGCCCTCCCGTGCTCGTCTGAGGCAACCAAACCACATGCGAGCCCTGGCCCCTGAGCGGGACAAGCACTCCTGCTTTCAGACATACATGTTGCGTAGTTTGTTGTGTGGGAAGGTCAGGGATCGAGCAACCGTACGAGCCCGGTTCCTTCCTCCTCCTCCGCCCTCCCCCATTGCTCCTCCTCCGATTGGTTTCCTACTTTTCTGGTGGCCTCCTAAACTGGGTCCTTATAGATGAGGTCAGAGGATCGCGCCGCATTGCCGATGCATTGTCGATGCATCGGCAATGCATCGGCAACGTAGGCAATGCATCGACCACGTGGGCGTGGAGAAAATCGGGCTCCATATCGAGCCGCATCGCCGATGCATCGGCGATGTGGTACGATCCTCCGGCCCCATCTACTCGGACACCATTTGGGAGGCCTGAATGCTCTGCGGGGAGAAGGAGTGGGAGGAGCGAGGCGGATCTGCCAAGTTGTCCTCCTCCGAAGAGATAGAACGGGCGGCGTACAGTTCAGGTCTCATCACAAGGAGGCGAACACACAGGCAGCGAGGCCCCATTCTGGCTACAGTTGCGCTGAGGACAGAAGGGGGCAGAAGAAGAAAAAGCAGCTACACACACCTGGACTTTCGGAGGTCCGCGCGGACTTCTCGGACCGGCGCTGGACCCCCCTCCCTGGCGCGCGCAGCTCGGGCTGGGCCAAAGGGAGGGATAGCAAAGGGGGGGCTTGAGAATCAGCTCACGTGGCTGATGTTCCAGAGGCGGCTATTGTATCGAGGAATGGGCCCCTCGGTGCGGCCGAAGCCAGCTGCGTGCAGCAGATTTCGTGCCCCCCCTTTCCCTCGGGGATCTTGTGACCTGGGTCAATGCAGACCCGGGGTCGGCGGGAGGGGGGGGGAGTGGAGCGCGAAACGGGAGGTCAGAGGACGGGGGGACGGGCAGTTGGGCCTTCCGACTGCGAGGCGCAGGGTCGTGGCATCATCACGTTTCGAGAAACCCTAGCGGAGAGAAAGAGAGGGAGAACGAGGACAAAAGAGAGAGAGAGAGAAAAAAAAAAAACAGAAAACGATGAACTCAACAACCATATCAACGAAGACTATGGAAAGCGCCAGGTGTTAATGCGGACATGCATGCAGCATGACCAACTGGCGAACACGAGCGATAATACCTGGTGCCGCGCACACTGTGCAGACGGCCGGAGGCAGGCCTCCCGGGCCTTCTGAGAATGCACGCCCCCTCTGCCTTCCCCTCTGGGCTCGCCGCCGAACAGTTACGCAGGGGCTTCCTCGCGGGCTCTGGGCGTCGTCGGTGGGTCTGACAAGAGATGGCCCGTGGCTCGAAAGGCCCCCAGAGCTCCGCGCGTCTCGCTTGCACTTCTGTGGCGACTCCGTCGACGTGCTCCCTCCTTTGCGCCCGCTCGTGACAGTTGCGCACGCGCAAGCTGATCTGAAACACTGGGGTAAGTGCACACATGTCTGAGCACATGCACGGTGTGCGCATGCATGGACACACGCGGTTGGCACACGACTCAGCTGATATGGCCCCCACAACAATAAAAATTACGTAGAGCACGAGGAACAGGTAGCCGAGCTGCTTGCTCAACACCCATCCGCTCAACCGGACACCGCCGACCTCCGCTCCGCTTTCCGTTTCCTCCAAGGTCCTGGCACGCAGGTGCAGATTCCGAGAACCAAGAGCAAACATACGAGCACACGCTTCCCAAATCAGCACGGACATCATGGCTCGGCCATGCCCCCCCAGCCCCCCGCACCCTTTGCACGCCAAGCGGAGCGCGCTTGGAACGGCACAATGGGCGCGGGAGGGTGGTCCAGAGGCAGCCAGCGAAATCCGCCGCAGCTTCCAAGACACCATGCTCATGCCGTCAATCGGCTCTGTTAGCGTGGTCCACACCGTTTCTTCTCAGGCGTGGGGGAGAGTGCGACCATCGCGTCTCAAAGAGGGATTGCGGTCATCAACCTCTGAATTGCACTGCCCCATCCCAACCCCTCCCCGCACCGTGAAACAAACCATGCACATAAGGCCGGCCATCTGAACGATCATCGTCACCGGGTTGCTTTCCGCTGGCCCCCTCTCCGCAGAGGGACCTTCCTCCACCTCCTCATGATCCTCTCCACTCGTCCCCCCGTCTACCAGTGCATGCCAGAGGAACAGCAAGCAACATACACATAAACTGTCGGAGGTCCACTCTATCTTGGATTGGCGCTGAAGCGCACCCACTGTGGCGTGGAACATGTGCCACCCCTGCCAGGCTTTGCGACACTTGCGCGTATGAGGTGTGTGTACGCGACCGTAGGAACGTTTTTGTATGTGCACGAGCGAGGAGGAGGGGATGTCCTTCGCGGGTGCGATACATATGTGCTGTGTGCATGTGTGCTGTACGCGTGCTTTGCACATGTATCCTGTATGTGCGCATGCTGTAGGTTTGCTGCGTGCTGTGCGCATGCTGTATGTGTCTTCTGTATGATGCGTGTACGGGTGATGTATCATGTGGTTGCGTGCTTGTGCAAAAGGGATAGGAGAAGGTAAGGTGAAGGTGAAGGTGAGATGTGTGTGTGTGTGTGTTTGTGCGTTGGTTAGTCCTGAGGGCGGACGCGGCAGGGAACACCAGAATTTCACGACACATGTGGGGAACACCTCCTCCAGCACAGCTCTTTTAACCCAGAATCTCAGACCTCGCCCCTCCTTACTGCTCGCTGGCACATGTGCTGGGCCACCCCTGACCCCAGCAAGATCCAAAGCTCATCCACAACCCCCTGTGTGCAACCCAATCTTTACGACCCCCCACCCCCTCCGTCGCTGACCTTACAGAGTGCTAAAAGAAACCCCTCCAGATCTTTAGACCTATCTGGACTGCCTCAGAACTCGACAAAGGTTGAGATGTCGAGGCCCTGGTGCTACAGTCGAGCCGCTGAAAGAAGAAACGCGATGTTCGGAACGAAGCCCCTTTCAGGCCACATAGCCGCCTTCGTTCACGAGGGGGGCTGGAGGAACAGCCATGCCAGGACTTAAGGAACATCGAGTCCCTTCCGAACCCAAACTGTTCTTTATTTCAGCGTCGGGACTGTATTTTCCAGCACCTTTGGAAGGTGAGAATTCCTGCGTCCTCCCCCGCTCGTGGTCGCTGCCCTTCTTTGGCTCCCGCGCCCACGCGCCCCATGCCGCCTCATCATGCTGCATCTCTGGGCGACAACGCCACCTCCCGAAGGTACACCTCAGCCCGAGGATGCCACGCTTCCGCCCGAGGATGCAACTCGGGCCCCGAAGATGCCACGCCACCTCTCGAAGATTTCATTTGGCCCCGGAGATGCAACGTTACCTCTCGAAGATACCACTCAGCCGCGAATCTACAACTTAGCCCCGACGAACTTGGCCCGAGGACAACCCTTCAAGGGGGGCCATGGAGCACCACGGCCTCTGCCGAAGCCAGAGCGGAGCCCTCGCTTCGACGAGCTGGCATCACCATACAGGGCGGCTGGGGAGCCCACTGCTCCCTCATGAGGCTGCGCCCCTCAGAGGCGATCGGTGGAAACGGCCCTAGAGCAACCGTCGAGAGGTGGCGCAAGACAGGGGACCCGTCAGCGTCAGATCGAGAAGCCGAAGGAGATCGGATCGCAGCGTGCGTCAGATCGGGTCGCATCGGCACGGAATCGGAATCGAATCGGATCGGCCGCGCCAACTGAAGGCAAACCGGGATGCGGTAAATCTGAAATCTCTCTGAAAGTCCGGCGGGTCGTGAAGTATCGGGCAGAAGGGCCGATCCAGAGCGGTCAAGAAGGCCCTGCGATCTGTCCAGTGTATTTGACATAGGCTAGGCCTGAGTGACTTCAGCGGCCTTCAGAGATCTCGTGGAGGCCCGTCAGCCGCTCCTCCTCCTGCTCCGCCTCGTCTCCCTCCTCAACTTGCCGTGAGGGGAGGAACAGATTGAGGAACGGACTTGTTTTGCGATTCTTGGCCGTTGTGAATCTCCGGAGCCCGCTGGTGACTTTGAAGACTCCTCTTCCTCCTCCTCCCCCTCCTCCTCCTCCTCCTTCTCATCCTCCTCCTCCTCCTCCTCCTCCTCCTCCTCCTCCTCCTCCTCCTCTCCACTCCCTTCTGCTCCTCATTCTTCCCCTGCTGCCCCTCCGAGATGGTAAAAAGGCATGGAATGCTCTCGGGGCGCATGGAGCGGAGGGGGCGGAAGCCTCACAGATTCACAGGCACAGAAGTGTCGGAGGCACCATCGACGGCGCTGCGGATAATCGCGATGAGCCACGGCACCGTCAGAGGGGGGCGAGAAGGAACGCTGTGACGGAGTAGGAGCAGGATGCCGAAGACGGTAAAGACAAAAGACATATTAACAATATTGACCAACGGTGGCATAATTGCGACCAGTGGCTCCGATGAGAGTGCAAAGCTGTTACAGAGCATGCCAATGGTAGAAGAGGGAACTGCATAAATACCAACTCTCGGATGTGCGCGGATATCTTCGATCCGCGCCGGGCCCCCCCAAGCTCGCCAAAGGCGTCGCCGAAGACGCCGCCAGGTGCCACCAGCTCGACGAATCCAGCCAGACCTCCGAACGAACTTGCTCTAGATGGTGCGCGCTGAAACTTCTGCCTGCATCCACCCCGTCTGCAAGCTCCTCCAACCCTTCGGTTGAGGGGCAACGTCAGGGGGGACCGGCGAAGGGCGGGGGGAGCATCGCCCCGGGATCGACGAACCGTCGCCGACGTCGGCGAAGGCGGCGACGGCCCCTGATGCTGGCCATCGCTCGGACGTCCATTCCCTGTGTTCTTTTTTCTGTTTTCCGTGCGTGGGCTTTGTCGCCAAATGATCGAGGCTGCTCCTCGACGGTCCTCGCCGAAAGAGACATACACACGTCCGAGCGATGCCAAGGATGGCGGAACCCCGCGGCCCCAAAATACCGCGCATCGGCGGTGAACGGGCGGCGGCGGGCCGATGCATCCCACCCCGGGCCCAATCCCACCCTTGAACGAAGGATTGAAGGATTACAAAAAGGGTTGCAAAAAACCCAAGGTTTTTTCGCAATCCTTCGAAAAAGGATTGCAAAAAGGTTTTTTTTTGCAATCCAGGGTTTTTTTTGCAATCCTTCGGCCTGTCCCCTATCGCTGCCACTGATCATTGTCTTCTTTACCCCTGGAGAGTGTAGGTCTGCCACCAGTCCCGCCGTCGCTCGGACGTCCATTCCCTGGGCATCTTGCGATGCCGTGCGTGTTTTGGCTTTTTCGCCAAATGATAAAATATGCTCCTCGATGGTCCTCGCCGAGAAAAAGTGCACACGTCCGAGCGATGCCAAGTGATCATTGTCTTACCCCTGGAAAATGTAGGTCTGTCACCAGACGTTGACGACGACGACGACGACGACGACGACGACGACGACGACGACGACGACGACGACGACGACTTCGACGATGACGACTCGACGCGACCCTCGCCTCGGGGCGCGCGAAGGCGCCGGAGCCCGCGCTCGCTGCCCATGGTTTGGGGGGGTGGGCGGCGCAGGCGAGCACTAGCGCGAGGAGGGCCCTCAGCACGAGCAAGGAGCAACTCCTCCTCCTCCTCCTCCTCCTCCTCCTCCTCCTCCTCCTCCCTCACTCCTCTCCTACTCGTCCTTCTTTTCGTCCTCTCCGCGTCGTCCTCCTCCTCCTCGTCCTCCTCCTCCTCCTCCTCCTCGTCCTCGTCCTCTCCGCCTCCTCCTCCTCCTTCTCCTCATCCTCCTCTTCCTCCATTATTTTCCCTAATAAACAACTCCTCCCTGTCACACCCCGAGGCCGAGCACATTCGTTGTAACAGAAATGTAGGAAATTCGCAGATTGAGGGCAGGTCGTTTTAAACATGTGGCTCTCGCCTTAGCGCCGCGCACATTTGCTTTAAACATTTGCAAGAAATTCGCGGATTGAGGACGGCTCCTTGTCAAAATGTGGTTCCCGCCTTAGCGCCGCGCGCACTCGTAATTCGCCGGCCAGAGGCGTGCTAAGATCTCCGGTAACTGGTTCACAATTCTCTAGTTCGCGCGCGCGGGGCGGCCCCTGGGGGTCCCCGGACGAAAACTACCCCGGGCGGGTCCCGGCTGATCCCCGGGCGACTCCGCCAGAGCGCTCCATGAGCGCACCAACAGGGCTCCGAGACGTCCCCGAGAGCCCCAAGCAAGGCCAAGAGGCCCCCAAGAGGCCCCCAAGAGGCCCCCAAGATGGTACACGAGGGGTCCGACATGCCACAAGATCGCTCCAAGACGCCCAAGATAGCCCCCAGACGCTCCAAGAGGCCTCCAAGAGCACTCCCAAGAGGGCCCCAAGAGGCAAAATTAATTGTTTTCCTCAGGTTTTTGAGACATTTTGGAGCTTCCACCTTTTCGGTTTCCCGACGCCCCAAGACGGCCCAAGAGGCCCCCAAGATCGCCCCAAGAGGGCCCAAGAGGCCCCCAAGAGGGCCCCAAGATGGCCCAAGAGGGCTCGAAGACGGCCCAAGAAGCCTCCAAGACGGTCCAAGAGGGCCCCAAGAACGCCCCCAAAGGGGCCCCAGAGAGGGAACACGAAACAACATTTCGAGCCCTCGGCCCTAAGAAGCCCCCACGAGGCCCCAAGAGGCCCCTGAGAGGCCCCAAGAGGCCCCCACGAGGCCCTCAGGAGGCCCTCAAGAGTCCCCCAAGCGGCCCCAGGAGGCCCCCCAAATGCCCCCCCGAGCACGCAAGCAAGTGCAAGCGATGCTACGATGTGCTCTCCTTTCGGTGGACTCCCAACGGGGCCCCTACAGACTTGCAACAAGAGTCAAGAACCTGCCCAAAAAGCACTGTCCAGGAGCGTTCGCAAGTGCCGCGAAGAAGCCTTCCTTACGCCGGAAAGCCCGGAAAGCCGGGTGGGGTGAGCTGTTCTTCTCACCACCGCGCCCTCTCACGCAATGGCTTCCGCACGCCGCCCAGAGCGCGATGCCTCCCAGACTGTATGGGCCGGCGGAATGAGCGAAGCGATTAAATAAACACGTCCAGAAGTTGCACGGCTTCTCATGATCAAGATGCGAGAAAGTGGTGCTTCAGAAGGATTCCGGATTGAGAGGGCGCAGCAGTTACATTGATGAAGAGAGCCCCCCCAGAGGCCCCACGAGGCCCCCCAGAGGCACCCAAGACGCATCAAGAGGCCTCGGCGAGAAGGCCAACATCAGTGATTTTACGCAGGTGATGGCAGCATGTGGGACTCCTGCTGGGGTGGACCCTAACCTCATGCCCGTGAGAATAAATACTAGGGGATAATAAAGTTCGGGGTTCAGGGAGAGATAATAAAAGTAGCCCAGCAGACCTCAGCATAATCTCGAAGTAAGAGATGATCAAGAGTAGACCAAGCCGAGCACGTTTTGAGACATCCTTGGCGTTTAGTTTTCATAGAAATATCCTCAACAATGGCATATCTCGCTGGAGACATCCTCGACAAATCCCTTGTTTCGCTTGAGACATCCGCAAATTATTGCTTATTTCGCTTGAGACACAGTCAAACTATTCATGTGCTTCATTTCCATGGATAATCAACCCCAGGGATAAAAAAGTTCAGGCGAGCGTGAGGACAGATAGACATATAAAATAAGAAGAGGAAAGTAGAATAATAATAAGAAGAGAAGAATAAGAGAATAATAACAAGAGAAGAAGAACGAAACAATGGAAAGTTCCAAATCTATCAATTTTAATTTACAAACACTTTATGAACATTGATTTTTTTAAGTGCTCATGTAGGGCTCCCCTTTCCATGGATAATCGACCCCAGAGATACAAAAAAGGTCAGGCGCGCGCGGGGATAGATACATATATAAAAAGGAGATAATAAAATATAAATAAAAAGAAAAAACTTGCTGGTTTAGCTTGAAACATCCTTGAGACATCCTTGAAACATTGCTCGTTTCGTTTGAGTCTGCCTCCCAAAACTATTGGTTTCGCTTGACACATCCTGAAAAGTGTAATCGCTTCGCTTGATGATGCTATATCAACATCGCTTGATGTTGCTATCTCAACATAGCGTTTCGAGGTGGTAATGAAGTTCGGCCTCAGCGCTCGCCGCCCAATTTGAATTTTGTATAGGGCGACGATAATCAACTCTAAACACTGAAGGGGGGGGTCCCTTTATTATCATCGGCATGCGGTTAATGAAGAAGCCCCCCTCCTTTGATCGATCTTCTCAAGATGGCCCCAAGATGGCCCCCGAGGTTCCCAAGGGTGCCCCAAGAGGTGCCCAGGGGGGCTCCATGAGGCCCCCAAGAGGCCTCCAGGAATTCCCCAAGAGGCCTCCCAGAGGGACCCAAAGACGCCCCACGAGGCCCCCTGGAACGCCAAGAGACCCCCAAGACGCCCCAAGAAGACTCCAATCAACTCTCGATAGAAAGAGACTCCAAGACTCCAAGAGGCATCCAAGAGGCCTATGGCCGCTCTGCTCGCCATCCTCTTCTTCCTCCTCCCCCTCCTCCTCCTCATCCGCTTGTTCCTCATCTTCTCCTCCTCACTTCTCCTCCCTCCTCCCTCTCCCCTCTCCCTACTCCCCCTCCTCCTCCTCCTCCTCCTCTTCCTCCTCTTCCACCTCCTCCTGCTCCTCCTCCGATTCCGCCTCCATCCTCCCCCTCATGGGGTACGACGTCTTACCCAGCCCATTGCTTTAACTGCATGCTCCTCCACATCCCTCATCAGGGCAACTCTTCTTGCCATCGTTTCCAGATGGGCTGGTGGGGTTACTTTTTGGTCAGCAGTCTCGCGAGGCGGGTCGAAAGCCGTCCGAACACTGGTCGGGCCGCGACAAGGCAGCAGGAAAAGAAAGGCAAGCGAAGCGAGCGAGCGGGCAACATCTCAGAAGGAGAGCCAGAACAGATAATCCCAAACCCGGAGGCGTTGGAAATCCCGGTGGGGCTGGTGGGGTTATTTTTTTGGTCGCGGCCGCGGGCGAGAGCGCACACGGCGAGTCGTAAGTCCGGGGCGCGGGCCTACTACTTAACATCAGGAGCAAACTAGAGCCGCACACCTAAACTGCCTAAAGGGGCTGAATGGGGTTACGCGAAGCGTCTAGAATATGGCGTTCCTGCCATGCGAAACGGCGACGGAACGCGCCAATGCTCTACGGAAGGAGACTCGCCGCTAATCCGCGTTGCCCTAAGCCGTGCGTGCGGTGGAGGCAAGTCCACAAGAAACCTCACACAGGAAACCCGACCCTGAGACCCCAGGACGTCCCCTGATGTTGGTGCGGGAGCGCCGCGCTTTCCTTGTAGCAAAACCTTCGAAGCCCAAGAAACCCAGGGCACCCTTCGGGTCGGGCG